TTAACAAAGAATGGCAGATCATTAATATAAATCAAAAATAAGAAAGGCCCAAGTATTGAGCCCTGCGGAACATCCATTTTTACCGGAGAACACAAAGAAGTCACACCATGTATCTCTACTTTCTGAATTCTACCGTTGAGATATGACGAGACAAGTTTCAATGTTGTAATGTTCCAGCTTCCTAATAAGAGTAATATGATCAACGCAATCAAATGCCTTTGAGAGGTCACAGAAAACACCAATAGCGTTCTGGGACCTTTCCCAAGCATCAAAGGTGTGTTTTAGTAACGCTACACCCGCATCGCTAGTCGATCTACCACTAGTAAACCCGTATTGTTCACTATGAAAAATATGATTCCTACCGAAATAGGACAGTAATTGACTCAGCATAACCTTTTCGAATATTTTACTTAAAGCTGGTAAAATTGAAATGGGCCTATAGTTGCTAGGATCAACTTTCCTACAGCTTTTGAATAAGGGAATAACCTTGCTGTATTTCATTAAATCGGGAAAAACACCTTCGTCAACGCACCTATTGAAAGCTACAGCTAAATATGGGGAAATTAGATCAATAACTGAGTCTATAACTTTAGTTGATATGCCCCAGAGATCTTCAGTTATTTTAACATGTATTGACTTAAAAGCTTTTATGATGTCTTGTGGATTAACATGATGGAAATTAAATGTACTGCCACAAACGTTAACATTTTCCTTTAGGAGATCAATAGCAAGTGAAGGGGAGGAATTTAATGATTCTGTAGTGTTCGCAGCAATTTCCGAAAAGAACGATTCAAAGGTCTAATTCTAAAACTATATCTCTATCGGGTTGTTTAACCCTGCCTGACTCTTTATTTATTATGCTCCAAGTAGTTTAGATTTATTTATCGATTGTCTAATTTTGTCGCTGTGAAACTTAACCTTAGCAGCTACACATACTTTTTTAAATATTTTTAAATAAATTCTAATATATTCTATGAAATTGGAATTAGTATTATAAGTTTTCATAGCATTATAGCTCATACAAACGAGACCTACTGTTATGAATACCTACTGTTGCCCAGCCGTTGAATTTAGTCTCTCTATGGAAAGTTAATGTTTTCGATTTAAATATATTATCAAATTAATTTTTAATTACCAAATATCGTGCTATATAAAGTATTTGGAACCTCCGGTATATGAATTTAAACTATTGCCGATATCATTTTGAAATGTCGATATTATTTTGTCAGATAGTACAATAGAAATTGAAAAGTTTATTTTTGGTAAATTTATTTATTACGTTTTGGAAAGTCATGGAACAAACGTTGTTGTTGACGATGTTAGTAATATAGTCCTGCAAGGTTGTTAGTATTTTACAAAAACTCTATAAAAAAATGAAAGACGTATAATTAAGAATGTACGTTTTTCAATTTTGAATGAGATAATGCGATTTAGTTACGACAAAAATATACCAGTGTGTATCCTCTCGTGTTTCCTGAGCGTGCCCCCGTCGGCGAATGCCTTCCAGCAGAAACGGCAGGCGTATGGCCGCTCGCCCGTGTGAATACGCACGTGGATCTGCTGCGAACTGCGCGACCCGAACACTTTGCCTGCTCAAGAAGCGTAGCGTGTGAGTGAGACAGAAACAATGTGTGATTTATTCTAATATTATGACGCATAATTTGAAACGAATATTTTTGTAGTATTGTTATTATTTTCTTAATGGCGGCCACCAGGCTTAGGTCAGTGGACGTATGAATGAATGAAATATTGTGTCTTTTTTATGATGGTACTAAAAGACCGGACGAACAAGTCGTGCGCCTGATGGCTAGCTACACGCCCGTCCATAACAATTGCAGTGCCACTCAGAGGTTAAATCCCAAAGATCTGAGAGGCACTGCGCCCGTCACACTGAGACATAAGTTGAAAAGTCCCATGCGCCTGTAATTTCACCAGCACCCTTCAAAAACGGGACGCAGTAATGCCTACATTACTGCTCGGCGGCAGAAATAGGTAACGTGGCAGTACTTCCCTGGACGAACTCTTTCACAAGGTTCTCTACTGCAACTATGAATCTTCATTCATCATCAATCATCATGATCCTATTTAAGAGTCAGCCCCTTGGCGTAGCCTCCTCCACTCCTTTGGTTGGGGCCGAGCTGTGGGCTACCAACGGGGTTACAGTTGGTATAGTGAACGGCCATCAGATACGGTGGTTAGATGGGAATAGTGAATAAGCAGTCCCCAACCAATCAACGGTACCGCTACCAGAATCCATTGGGATGAAACTCATCCCAAGCAAACTTGCTTTCCCCCTTGCCTTAGTAAAATAAGTGCAGATTTATCTTACAATAATCTCGCGTAATAATCCCAAAAACCCTAAATGTATGTCGTATTTTAATGAGATAGTCCAAATTTATCCAGTGATAGTAAGTTTTTGTAGGTGTTTTTAGCCTGGTAAAACACAATTAAGGCACGATGTAATGAATTACTGTGTATGTAATGCATTGTAAAACATTTTATGTTAATAAAGAATTTGAAAATCGAATTACTTTCCCACTTGCATCAGGTAGAGGCTATGCTAGTACTAGCAAAAAGCGGATGAATTATTTTTTATTCTATATTACACATAAAATTACAATAGCAACACAAAACAGTAACTTAAGTATAATAATCTCAGTACAGAGTACTAAAAAACCCGACTTCAAAAGTACGTGGAATTACGTCTACGTGACAAGTTTTATTGAAATATCCCCTAGTTCGTCACAAGGCCTAGGACTTGACACAGGAGATAATTAAAATCGGTTCTCACTACTCAAAGTACATTACGAGAGAAAAACGCTTTGAATTTGAGAATAGCAAAATCAACCATTAAAATAATTGCTCTATATAATAAAATTTAGGCGCTATTTATAAAAATGAATGTTATTGCATGAACAGCCACCCCTAGATGTGGATGATTTGCTTTAAAATGAAAAGGGGCCACTATGGAGGTACCCTCTTTCCAACAAAAAAAGAATCATGAAAATCGGTTCACAAATATCGGAGTTATCGCGTAACATGTATACAAAAAAAAAAAAAAACAGTCGAATCGAGAACCTTCTCCTTTTTTTGAAGTCGGTTAAAATAGTAGAAATAATAGAAGCTGTTGGCGTGTAGGAATATAAAAACTATTAGATATGATCGATGACTTCGCATCTTGTAACTTATATGATGGTAGTTATATTTTCGTAGACGCATTGGTGGATGTTTTTTACGGTATGTCATCATCATCATCCTTATTTCAGCCGAAAACGTCCACTGTTGGACATAGGTCTTCTCTAAAGATCGCCACCCACATGTGTTGCTTGCATTCAGTGAATTCCAATTCGAATATGGAAGCCTTTAATAGGGATGCCCCAAACATACTAAATAATTATTAACGTCAAAAATTTAGTTGGGTTACATGTTTTTCTATACATTAAACCGTTTACTTACCACATTCTCTGCACGGAAACTGTCGCGAATTATTTAACGAAGATGTATTATTTCGACCTCTCGACACTTTTTTCATTCTGAAACAATAAAGTCATGAGTACCGATATAAATGTATGCCTTTCTGCTCTCGTTGGTGTACAATCTCTATTACTAGGTTTTTTTACTTGTGCTTGTATTGTCAAGATCGGAGGTAATTTACGTTGAAATTTTATTTATTTATTACATACAATTACACAGCATTAGGGTGCGTTCCCATTATGCCGTGACGACAGATAGTCGTGCAGTTAGAAGTGTCGTGGCTTGTTTATGTAAATGAAGTTGATCACACATAGAACAACACGATTAACTCTCGTTCACGACTTTTTGACGTTAGGACGACAGACTGTCGTGGCAATTGGAAAGAGCTAAAACGACAGTCGTCTGACGATAAATATGTAAAAACGTCACGATAAAAATGTGACGATAGATAATCGCAGCTTCAAACGACTCTGTCGTGCAAACGACAAGGGTTGCCGTGAAAAGACAAATTGTCGTGAAGATCTAGTTGGAACAGCTAGACACGACAGTTGTTCAACGACAAAATAAACGTCCACGACACAGTCACGATAGACAGTCGTGATATGGGAACAGGCTAGATGCGACAGTCGTCTAAGAATAAATAAAACGTTACGACATAATGGGAACGCGCTCTTACAGTAAATTACCAAGGAACTGTAAAATTTATAATAATAAGTAATATTAATAATAATTCACAGATGATAGTCGCTCGTCCATCCTCTCACAAAACTTCAAACGTTCATCGCACACAGCCACCCATCAACTTGCAAAAACATCGCAGTCTGGTGCAGATACGAGAAGCGCATTAAAACAGTGCAAAGTGCGAGCAAGTGGTGATTTATTGTGTGACACAGCGCACACCGCCGACACTGCAAGTATTAATTAAGAAGTAATTTATATAACGAGGCAGAATATCATGTTTCCTTTTTGTCCAATTTCGCAACTAAGTCCATTAAAGTAGTAAGGACCATATGAAGCACTCCTGCCGGCTAATCGCGCATGGCATAAGACAGACTATTTTTCGGGTGTGTTGCCATTTAAAACAGGTGTAACTGTTGGACAGACTACTAGAAAAACGGTGATTTCAAAGGCAACCCATTATTTTTTTTAACGATAATTTGTACAAACAGTGGTTTGCTTACAGGATACTTTCAAAAATGTATAGTCTAAAGCAGTAAAGGTGCGGCATACATATTGGTTAAGTATACAAGAGTGTAATGTCATGTAATCGTTTCAAATTTCTCATGCTTGCTTTGATAGTGTTCTCCTCCCCAGCAACACACTCTTTTCATCATTCGACAATTATAATGATAATTATCCGACATATATATCCGATATTTGAAGCTATCACCGTAAAACTGGTGTAACCCACAATTAATTTAATAATCGGGTATCGCTGTATCGGATATCTGGTTAATAACATTTGCTATCTCATACACAAGGAGATGCTACCATGATTGTCCTAGATTTGTATCTTCTCAATTTACAGCCTTGGCATACGCCATAGCATATATTTATATACATATCCGATAATTGAGGCTATCAGCGTAAAAGTGGTGTAACCCACAATTAATTTAATAATGGATATCTGGTTAATCATAATATTTGCTATCTCATACACAAGGAGATGCTACCACGATTGTCCTGGATTTGTATCTTATCAGTTTACAGCCTTGGCAAACGCCACAGCATACATAGCACCACGCAAAAGATAATCACCTGTAGTGTCGTTCTTTAGAAAGTCATTAAAGCGCACGCGCAAAAATTTATAAAGTTTATTTTATAGGCTTAAGTTCAAATTATAGGCAGTTTTTTTTCTCTGTGTAATTGCTAATGTTGTACCATCTATGAAGACCACTCACGGAAGGTTTCCTTTATATTTTGCTGTATATAATAAAATAAGTTTGATTTTCATATGTCGTTTGGTCTAGTCATCGTGACGGTCACGTCGTCGTCAAGTACTTTTTGCAACAATTGTACAATAACAAATATTTGTGTTATGAAATAACAACAAAGATAAAAATAGTTTGTTTGTTCTTTGGAAAGTCTATGTCCCAGTGACTTGTGCTGTACCTAGTGTGATGCCTTTGTTGGTTGGGCGGGTCGGCGTGCAGCTCCGCGTGTGCCAACAGCTGCAACGCGTCCTGACAGGACTCACCGCACACGTCACACGTGTGCTCCCACGCGCTGCTCGTGCTGTCGTGCCGTTTGTAGCTACACACAGCACAATAGTTTATTCCCCTCTGTTGCTTTATATCAACGTTTACATAGCGATAGCAAATATTAATTCTGTGATTGACATAATTACGCGTGCGGAAGAGCGGCAAATATAACTATACTGTTTTTTTCCAAGACGGAGTAAAATGACAGTTTATTGCGCAAATGTGTTGCCCGTTTGATAAATCTGTGGCTCTAGTGAAAAGAGGTACAAGTTAAAAAGCCAACTTTATAAGGCAACGCGAAAACCACTTAACGCTTAATATCATATTAAGCTTTAACCGTTTTCCATGCCTCCTTGTACAGTTGTCTTTTTTTACCTGTACCCCTTTTCACTAGAGCCACAGAAATATTCTATCGACTTTGGACTGAATTCGTTATACTCACGCACTAATTAGCTATAACAAGGTTCACCCTTTTGTGTACATAAGTTCATGAAAAAAATTAAGCAACTCGATAATATTACTTTCACAACTACATGCAAACTGTACTTCCTTCAAAATATAACCAAGAAAAATCGGCTTGTCTTGAGAGCTCAAATCAAAGTTATGTTACATAAAGGATAACAAATAATATACCCATTCCACGTATCCGTGTATATTTATATATCGATATTGCAAATTTGAAATGTCGTAAGGGGTTTTTGGTAGTAACGGAAAATGATCTTGCGACAAAATGTCTCTTAGGACATTTCGAATTTCCACTATCGATATAAGGGTAATAATTTCGAGAATTTCGATGTATCGAATTTTGAAATGTCGTAAGGGACATTTTGTAGTAAGGAGCATTTTCTATTACGACAAAATATGCCTTACAACATTTCAAATTCCTAACGTCGATATATATAATTGCGTTATTGCCTTCTTTATTCTTATATTTTGACAATTCACTCATTGGTATCGAAACCAATTCACGAAGTACAGACACACGTGCTTATTCTAATGCAACTTGCAACTGGCAACCCTGCAACATCATAATGCTCCGTTTAAAAAAAAATACTAACATGGTTATGTTTGCAACCCCGACAGGACAGATGTGACGAAACAGTGGAGATGACATTGAGAATCGTCACGCCCGCCCCGGGGCGGGGGCTGACGTTATTTTGTAATTGCATGTACCGTTTGATGAGTGACGTTTACGTGCTTAAAGTGATTAATAAATACAGTTAACTGTAATAATAATGATCTAATAATGTCAATCTTGTACTTGACCAATATACGGGTACTAAGTTCAAATTATCACTATGAGTTGGCATTCGTTGGTAATTTCACCTGTGTGCAGCAGCGACGTGCCTCCTCAAGAGATCAGCTCGCTGGAAGGCGACGCCACAGTCTTGACAGAAGAGTGAAGGTCCCCTTAGTGCGTCCATACTGGCGCGTTCTGAACTCGCGTCCCGGACCCCCTCCATCGGCGACAGACGGAACTCCATGTCGTCATCTGTCGAAACGATGAATAGTTGACAACGTTCCAGACAAAATTATTAAAATTCGTAAAAATAAAAGAAAAAAATTGTTAGCGTGACTGGTCTGTGTATGTTAAATTTACGTTGATAAGAGTTAAATATAATAAAAGTTCTGTACAGGATTGTAACCCTACTTATCTTGACACATCATTATAAAGTAACAAGAAAGATCTACTGTTCACAATTTGCTAATAATTACTTAATTAATTTATTAAATACAAAAACGAAATGGGTTTGGGTGAATACCTATGTAAGCGTTAGGCGAGTTACTACTCCTTTAAAAATTCTGGATCTTGAGTCAAAAATATCCAAACCATATTTTTTCATAAATATCTCGTTGTAAAGCAGACACGTTGTTATCAGGGGAATATAAAAGGAAGTGTTATTCTTATACGTTCGCAGGTTAAATGTCTTGCTATTCGGGGATTACGCTTTATGCATGCATAAATTTATTTTACTTAAAAGGTAGAAGAGTCAATCACGCCATGAAGAATTCGACTGCGAGCTGGCAACCGGTACTTTCTCAATTTTGACAACTTTACACGGTGAAGAAAAATATTGTTTGCGTCATTTATATAGAATCTGGTTTATTAAATAAAAATACTTAGTGTATGTGTAATAAAAATATTCAAAAACTACGTATTTTTATTTAATAAATCAGATGGTACATAAATGACGCACATAATTTTTTTCTTCACCTGTAAAGTTGTCAAAATTGACAAAGTATCGATTGCCGGTTTACAGTCGATAACGACTTGCATAAACAAGTATATTGATTAGGTTTCAGTTGTAACATACCCGAGTTTGAGTCGTTGTAGTCGTTCCGTGGCGTCTCGTGCTTCGGTGGCGGTAGGTGCGGGTGCTTGGTGGCAGCGTGGTGTGCCAACGCTTCGCGTGACCAGCACAACTCACCGCATGACACACACTCCACCGGAGAATCGCCGCCGTGCACCTGCCACATACATATGCTCAAGTCCTACACAAAGCCGCGTAGAACAAAACATTCTGTAAATACAGGGTTATTTGTAAAGTGCTAACAATGAAATGAAATGAAACGACCTCGGAGGACCACTAACATCATCATCGCATTGGCAGTGCCCCAAAACTCTGAGTGGTACTGCAACTGCTATGGATAGGCGTGTCCTTAAACTGCTTCCGTGACTGAACGGTTACAATGGACTGCCGGGGTTCAATTCCCGGGCCGGGTGAAATATTTGTATGACCTACATTTATTTATCTCGTGAGTTTGGGTGTAATTTGTGGTTGTTTAATGTGTGTGTCCATGGCACCCGCGACACAGGGCTTCCCTAGTGCGGGGCTATGAGTGCGTGTGTTATTGTTATTTACCACCAGGCGCACGACTTGTTCGTTCCTTCACTTGGTATTATAAAAAAAATCATAAACAATAACTTGTTCCATGACTTTTTACAAAATTTACCAAAAATGTTTTTTTAAACAGTAATAAAACCTCTATACAAAAAAGGTGATAAGGGCGAATTAGGGAACTATACGCCAGTTGCTTTAATTCCAGTACTGTCCAAGATTTTCGAAAGATTAATATTTAATAACCTATACTCAATCTATAAAAAATAATACATTCATCGACCAACAGAAAGGCTTCCGTAAGAATAATTCCATCAATTTGGCTATCTACGAATTTCTTAAAATATATTCTAGGACGGACAGAGGTCAACCTGTTTCATCATTGTACAAAGCATTTGATTATATAAAAAATAACACGCTGTTGCGTAAATTCTGGGTATACGGTGTAAGAGGCAATGCCCAGGAACTAATAAAATCCTACCTTAAAATAGACTTCAGTCAACACACATCAGTAAAGTGTATCCCGTATCGAAACATGAAATGTTTTATGCATCATCGCAGAGAATAGTAAGCCAAGGAGTACCTCCAGGTAGCATATTGGGACCATTGCTATTCTTAATATAAATAAATGACATTCTTAAATCAATTAACGAATCCTACAATATTGTTTGTGGATGATTGTACGGTAATTTATGACAATGAAACAAATATAAATACAAGTTTGAACTCTATTATTGAATGGCTGAAATATAATGATCAAGTTATAAATCTAGACAAAACTAAAGTTATGAACTTTAAACAAAGATACAATAAACCTATGCAAACTAGAGTGGTCTATGAAAGCAAGGAGGTCGGTGAAACAATGACAGTAAAGTGCTTAGGTTTATATATAGATAATAATCTAAAATGGTAAACAAACCTAGAATATGTATGTGGTAAGATACTAAAGTTTTCTTATGCATTGTTTAGTCTATATCGAAAATAGTAAATTTAAACGCTTTAGTGACCGCCTACCGTGGTTATGTAGCAACCAACCTTAGGTATGGAATCATTTTTTGGGGAAATGCACCGTACATTGAACGCATATTCAAAGCTCAAAAGAGATGTATTCGGGGTATATGCGGCTTGAAAAAAAAAAACAGATAGCTGTCAACCACATTTTAAAAATTTGAAAATACTGACTCTACCATGCTTATATATATTTAAAATTTCACTTTTCGTAAAGCGTCATCTTCATTAATTTGAATTTGTCATACGAGCCCACCGTTCTCATCAACTGAAAAGTAGATCATGTAAAACTGCTCTACTTCAAAATAGTCTAATAGTAATTATTGGCTACGAAGGTATATAACAAACTTCCACTTGAAATTAGGAATTGCAATGATTGTGCAAAATTTGAGAACTTATTATTTAATTATCTAAATGATAGGACATTCTACAGTATTGAAGATTTTTTATAAAATTTACATTTCATTATTAAATTTGTTATTGATTATTTTACTATTGTTATTATGTTTCATTAGTATTAGGTTGCATTAATTGGACTGCATGATTATAATAATATTACAAATTATTGCATGAGAATTACTAAACCTAAGAAAACTTTGTATGCCATAAGGCAACTTTATAACCTGTGTATCACAAAGAAATAAATGATTTGATTTGATTTAAATTTAAAGATCGAACAGAAAGAAAATTTCTAATGACCCGACAGGCCTTGGAATATGTTCCATGGGTAGTTGGCATAGTGTCTAGCTAAGTTTGCTAGAAGACGAATGGATGGTTCAAATCCAGCCGGGTCGAAGGAATTATCCATCTTTGTAGTCATAATTAAAATTGACTATTTTTTTATGCTCATAGCCTCAGCTTTTTAAAGGAATGTTTCATTGTAAGGGACGAAAAAATCGAGTTCGGTTACATTAGGTTGTTATTAATACTATATTCACCCTTGCATGTGACTGCAATGCCTTCTCTCTAGCAAATCCAACTCCACAATGGCGACAGACAAAAGGGCGGCTGGGGTCAGCGGGCGCGGGCGGCGGCGTTGGCGGCGAAGGGGGGGACGCTGGCGATGGCGGGGACGGCGGCGTCGGAGGGGGTTTAGGCGACCGCCGTCGTGACCATTGTTGAGTGCGTGCACTAGTCATGTTCTCCCATAGACCATTCTGCAATTGCATGTGGAATATAAATAATTGTTACGAATAAGTAATTGCATTACAAGTAGCTTCGAAACATTATACGAACGTGCTAAGTGCTTATAGCTAAGTTGGTACTTAAGCTGCGCAATAAGAAATTTATGTATTTGATACATATTATATCCTACGTATACAAAAATATATCTTACAATACAAACGGCTGTTTAGTTTAGGTACCAGTTATTACTGTTTAGCCACTTATTTTATCAAATAAAAACAAAAGTTGCTTACAAACATAATAGGAAATGTATAGTAGATTGTACAACAAGTGCATAAAACGCGTCACTCTACCTGTGACCAGTATATCCTGTGGATACTTAAGACGAGGGTAAAATGGGTTTTATGAGCGACTTATATACTCTGATTTTCACATCGATTGTGAGGAAATCAAACAGCTATACTACAAATAAACGATTATTTAATTAAAATTGAATGTAAAATGACAACAATTAGACATATTTAATTTGAGGTTTCTTTTATTTTATGCACTAGAGCCATTGACTTACAATTATATGGACGTCGGGTCCGCACTTGTAAGGCGCTAAAATCGTATACAGAGCGCGACACTCCGCTTTAGTCTTCATTTGTTCTACGGACAGCGCGATACTGCGATGACATAACAATTTAAATTTCGAATAGGTTGACTTGGGACATTTTTTTCGTGGTTTTTGTATTAGACCCGTCGTCCATTTATTTGTAAGTCAATGACTAGAGCATAAAATCCTATTTTATGCAGCCTACACCCAGCATAAATACGAACTTTAAGAGCATGAGAAGTAAAAACATTTTTTTTCAGATGAAAATCACGTGTTTGTTTTTTCAAACAAACTAACATTCACGGTTGACCGAAAGACCTGTAAAGGGTATGTGTAACAATAGGGAAAACTAAGTACTCGATATAATGTAAACACAAATAGATGATGAGTTTCCACAAATAGATGAAACATATTTTATGGTGTACTTTATATTTTGGAAAATAAATATATTACTATTATATTGTTCAGTTAGACTTAAGGTCGTATTGTAGAACGCTACTCAATACTCAAGTCAGGATTTGAGTATTGCAGTGAGCACTGAAAATCATACTCAAGTCCTTGCCATTAGAGTCGTATTTCCAATGCTTGAAATCATACTCAAGTCTGCTCAAATCCTGACTTGAGCATTGAGTAGAGTTCTGGAATACGACCCTTAGACGTATATGTGTGGCTTTATAAGTCAAAGTCAAATAATCATTTATTCCATTGGTAAAATTTTTACACTTGAAAACGATTTTAAAACTACTAGGGATGGTATCGACCAACAAAACATGGTTTACTGACATCGATTTTTTTTTGACAAAACAATCGACGTATCGACTAACATTGGCTTAAAAAATCGATTAATCGACAAAATATAAATATTTTATTAATAGCTCGCATTACTTCATTCATACTCTTGTTGGTGAATTTTTTTAGCTGTAGAAGTAGTTTTACAACGTCACTTTCATCTCTTACGTTGTTCGTTGTTTACCTGATTTCTAAAGTTAAAAAGAGAAAGTATAGAGAGAGCTAGACAATACTCCATTAATTCTAAGCTAATAGTACCAGGGTTTCTAGAATAACCTCGAAAACACAGTTGGCTCAGGCGGCATGCATAGAAACCTCGTAACAAAACCCTCATTTCCCGCCTTATTTCAAATTACACAAATTACAATTTTATGATTAGATTATGTAGACCATCTTTCTGGTGTCACGGTATTGCGTCTCATTTTTCGAAAATCGACTAAATAAAATGACATTTAAAATTAGATTAAATGATAGATCTGCAGTAGTAGCAGATATTTCACTAAAATCACAACAATTTATTTATTGAATAGAACCAATAAAAAGTTTATAACTAATAATTATTACTCCCTTACCATTCGGTAATTTTTTGAACTATCAAATCCTGTTTTCTTAATTTCATCATTTTTTAGTTAGGACAGTATTTGGTTTCATGTGCGATTCTCTTATAATAAAATATACTAAATGGGTTTAACTAAACAAATTAACACTAAAGCACAAAAAAATAAAGCCCCAAACATTAGCTTTTTCACACAATTGTGACTTTGTTTGTAAACTAGGCACGTGACACTTGATATCACCTCAACTTAAACCATTCTAGTAAACAATACTTACTTCAACAGGATCAGGATTCTTTTTCCGTCGCCCCCTCTTCTTTTTTGGTTTTAGAAGTTGGTCATTGTCTAACATCTCTTCTGGAACAAGTAACAAGCGTAATAAGACTAAATTAAGTTTACTTGAAGTCAAGGTTCTTTGAATATGGTATTATGACGAGTACATCGGAATGTTACCAATGTTTTATACCTCTCTGGCATTACAGGAGTACGCTAAGGAGAGGTTTTTCCATTAAATTGTTGTCATTATCAAAACAAAATAAAACAAAAGACCTAGAGAAACAATTATTTAACGCTTATTTACTAATAGTAAAAGATAAGGCGGTGTTTCATGAAATCTATCTAGAGGAATTTATTTCGAAGACAATGTAATTTAATTTTTATTTGACGTCGTTGCATTTGGACAATATTGTACTGCTTTATTTTTTTACTTATACCATTTTGTTTTATATTAATTACTGTTATTTACATTAGTAACAATCATAACATTCCTTGACATTATACTTTAAATTGTAATATTGTGACATTGAAATACGAAATGAATGATTCAATTCTGTTTTTGTCAGCATTTCCACCCACTTATCAGCACTCAGCTAGCTTTAGCATCAATCGTGCTAGTGACATCTCAAAAAAAAATTTAAATTTAAATAAAATTAGTATGTGTGGCGTATTGTATCGTGAATTAGTATTCGTTATGTAAATCAGCATTAACAAATTTAATATGTTATGATATTTATGTTTAGAGAATAAGCCTGGCAGTTCAGGCGTCATAAATTGGTGAGATATTAGGAGTTCGCTGGGAGTGCATTGGCTGTTCGGCACTAGAGTTAGTAAGTTTGCATAATGTTTATTGCTTATTTAGATACAATATTTGTTGTCTATACGGCCTGAAAATAGAGTATGACGAAGCAGTAACAGATGCACTGCTCTACTAATAGCACACGTCATATTGTTGCGTTGCACTTCCGCGTCAAACAGCATCCGCAATTGCTGCACCATAGTACCTTAGCGTAATATATGTATTTCACTTATAAATATCATAATCAATTTTTACGGCCCGCTCCGGTTTAATGTAATATGGCTTTTATTCACAGTTTTATTCATTCAATTTTTGCATCCCGCAAAATAAGTTTCTGACCCAAGCCAATTTAATACAACTCTTACCGTAATCAATGGCATCCTGTGTGTCGGGTACAAAAGCATGGACCTTGAGGTGGTTCATCAAGTCACATTTTCGCACATATCGCACGCCGCAAAGATTGCAAGCATGAGGTCGGTCATTTTGATGGGCAACCATGTGGTTCATTAAAGCCGCTTTCTTGCGGAACCTCCGCGAACAGAAATCGCAGGGCCATGGCCGCATGGCTGTGTATTCATCCTAAAATATTGAAATACGTTCGTTATGTTAAAATGCTCTAAAGAATTTAAGTGTGCAGATTTATTAGAGAATTTAAAGTGGAAATTTACTCAAATAATTTTGTTTTGAATCTTATACTGATCCTATGTTGTCTTGTGATTCACAATATTGGGACAAGATAACTTTCTACAAAGCTATCTAGGTATGTATAAGAATACAGAATAACATTTAGCACAGTCTGAATACATCTGAGTAATAAGTAAAACTAAATTATTTTAGTTTGAGCCATTTTTCTTGAAGAGCAGCAGTATGTTGTCATGTAACTCATTTTCGATAAATTGTAAATTACGTACAATTGTGTTGAAATGAACGAAATTATTCCAACAACTTTCGTGAGACTATAGTGGCATTCTCAGTTGTTATAAACAACAAAAACAATTGATTAAGCAATAAGAAAAAAATTATTGAAACTATTTTAAACAGAAAATAAAACAATATTTACTTGATCTGTGGGCAAGGGGACATCAATGTCATTTTCTTCTTTGATATCTGACACTGGATTTACGAAATGATCTAGAGACACTTCAACTCTGAAAAAAAAATTATCTTATTAAATATATGTCACTGGTCAGGAAAGAGTTAGGATGAACGTCATACAATGAGATCTAAAATAAGGTATAACCAAATGAGCATCATTTCTAAATTGAAGACTGAGAGTCGTATTCCAGAACTCAAGTCAGGATTTGAGTATTGCAGTGAGCACTGAAAATTATACTCAAGGCCTTGCCAAGAGTCGTATTTCCAGTGCTTGAAATCATACTCAAGAGTTCTGGAATACGATCTTTAGAAACACACATCGCTTAAGCACAAAATAAGTAATATGGTCCATTACTCCCTAAACATTAAATATTTGTCTAAAAAAAGGAAAATCAAAGGTGCCGCCGCGCAGAGACCGCGTGCGTCTAATTATTGTCATGGCAAAATACGCTCTATTTGTTTAGCTCTTACATAACTTACAACAGAGTAATATTGTTATATTTTAAAGTAAATATATAACTTTTCCGTAAATAATAGTGTAAAACTACTTGCGAATATCCACTAACATAATTTTCACTAGAATAAAAATTTTAATGGGTTTTTCATTAATTTCTGAGATGCTATCAATATTTTCGTGTTTCATATTTTAATATAAGATATAACGTTTTTTTCATCTTTAATTTTGTCACACATTACCAATAAGTAATATTATTTTTGAAGTTTTTAATTGCTTCTGTAAAGTTGCAGTTTTACCTTTACACAATTATTCGGTGGAGCCTAAATAAGTAAATCAATTTTACTCAAAATTTTGAGCCTTGTCACTTCGTCGCCGACATGTGGTATTTGGACTATAAATAATGAGAACTGTTAATGCCTTTTTTACAATGGGATACCACAATTTCACCTATTACCTCTATTTCTTTGCACCACTCACCTATCTTGTCCACCATGTGGCACCCAGTCATCGGTAATGACCTCTTCCGTGACACACTCTACACTGGGGTCAAGCTCAGCTGTCTCTGTATAGCTCACTACATCCTGGGCTAAGTACATCAAGTTCTCTGCTGCCATTTGATCTGTGTCAGCTATCATATCTGATTGCTGAATAAAGACAATGAATTAGATACAATTTCTATAAATATATTTCACATCTTGATGAACAAAGCGCCTTCAAATTAGACGCTTATAGAAGCGCTGCAGTGGCGCGGCAGTCGCGCGTCTGTAGCGCTTAAGAAATTTCTAGTTCACTAATTGTTTGTGACTGCGAAAGTAGCGCTACCACTGCGCTTCTAAATATTGTATGAAAATTAGTAGTGGCGCGGCTGCAGTGTCACAGTGGCGGCACTGCAGCACTAAGCGTCTAATATGATTGGGCTCTAAATTTTGTTTAAAAATATAGCAGGTCACTTTAGGAATGGCAGGTTGTTTTTGTAACTTGTCATTGTCATAATCGTCGTAGTATTTTTAGCGCCAAATCAGTGCGCAAGATAAGCTATATAATTACTTGTCACTACCTAGCAAAGATACGCGCGCGTATTTGGTGCTGGACCTGTCTCTAGCCTTGACTGGTAGGCAGGAATGTAGGTCCAATTACTTACTACAATATGCACTACTATTTTACATCTTGGCAAAAGTGGAAAGTATATTTACTGTCAATAACATTCCCAAAAAGTGTATTCATAATTGGACGTAGAGACATGGCAGTTTTAAGTTTAAAAATGTTACTCACTAATGTTTAATTTCAAAACTTATAACGTCATGTAACTCCAGAGATAATTATATATGTTTAAATGTTGGATTTTTTGCTGATCTAAGAGGTTAGACTTTAGGAACCGTTTGGTACATGTAACTCATTTTTAACCGACTTCAAAAAAGGAGGAGGGTCTCAATTCGACTGTATGTTCTTTTTTTTCTTTTGATAATTTAGTGGATTGGATCCTTTTTGCATAACTACATCGAATTGAATAATTTACTTGGTTAAACCAGATAAAAATACAGGTGATAATTTTTCTTGAATCAACATTCAAATTATTAGATTACACTTATTGTTTGTGAAAAGAATAAATAATTACCATTTGTGCATATGGCCCAGGTTGCACATTTTCAAGGCTGTAGTTGGCAACCTCTGTTTTTACCACATCCGATGAATTCTTGAAATAATTAAATTGCTTTTAAAATAAAATTTTCACTTATTAATGTGTTTTTGGGCATAAAATCAATTACAGATGGTAAAAAAGAAATGTATTCTTAATACTTTTTGTATATACAAATAACCTGGGACCTACATCACATTTCATTTCAACTATGCTAAAAGAAGATCTCCACCAATAAGTGTTTACATCAATACAATTAAAGAGTTGACATCTAATGCAGCGTGTAATATATGTATGCAGTATCTATCAAAGAAAATAGCAGTAATCTAAAAAAATTGATGTATTTGATTCCAACTTTAAATTATTTTAAGTAGAAGAGCTAACAAACCTTGACTTCCACCTCCTCCTCCCAGTGGAGGGTAAATTCTTCCCCATCTCCATCCATTTTGGACTACTCTCCTTTTCTCCTATCCATTACTGTATATGAAAAAAATAATTTCATCAACATATAAAACCGGTTATATTAAAATATTACAACTCGAAAATTGCTAATAATTGTTTTAATAGACATAAAATCGATTTAAAAATGTTGAGAGGTAACGAAAACTGATTTCATATGACCTTAAACTCAAAGTCTAAAGGAAAGCAATCTATAATACTGTCAACGGATTTCTATACACCCTCTAACATTCCACAATCAAAACATCAACATAACCTTACCACCATAATAATAATTCCTACACCATTCAGCCGATTCGCAACATCTACAGTTAATTACCAATAGGTATCAACATTCTGATCAAAGATGGTCTAATAATAAAGACGCAAAGCCCAATCAAAATGGTGTCAAGCAAGTTACAGAAACGCTTAGGTTATATCTTGTCAAATGAAAAGGTTAGCCCAAACATAAACTTTATCCCGAAAATCATTTACGCCTAAATAATGAGAAAAATACCTTTTCTTTGTGAAGAATCGCTACAATTTCCGCATTAATCGAAGCTTCGTTATATATCTATACGTTTACATGACGCAATCACAGAATTATCAATAGTTGTATGTATGTACATGGATGAAAACAGAATTATAACCAAAGTGATCATAAAAGTAATGAAAATACTTACCGGGTAATAATTCAGTAAGTTTATTTTAACGATTTGTAACACAAATGGCGTGAACAAAGCTAAAATATTCTAAAGTGTTTGGTTATTCGACAAATGGCTATCTTCCATTTATTTTTTATAACCAACCATAGCTCAAGAAAGTGGATGACTTTTTTTTAATTCGTAGACAACTCGAATTTTCTTTATAAACACCCATTCGTTTAGTCTTAATTTTATTCGTTAATTTGGAAACCTTACGAACCTTACCATCAAAAAGTCAAAAGGTGTTCCTTACGATAAAACGAATATATCATCCACTTGGCAGCTAAAAAAATAAAAATTCTATCAACAAACTTCAATTTGCAGTAAAAAAATTTTTGCGCGTTCAACCTTTTATTTATAATTATTATTGTAAACAGACAGAAAAGTAAAACTTTGAAGTAACTAGTGGCAACAATAATCGGCAGCCATGGCCCAGGAATTGAAAGAACTTTGTGAATTACTCTTTCCGGATTCTTCATCAGGTATTTTAACATAAATATACAAATAACTCCGTCGTATTTACCGAACATGCTACGCTTAGAATGTTTTCTGTAATTAAATGAGGGCGCTTAGCATATTCAAAACCTTTTAATAAATTGCTAATTCCCACGTTACTAAGATATCATTTTTTTTTTGTAGAAACTCCAGAGTATTTTGGAGACATAGCGGACTATATAAAGAAATTGGGCAGTCAGAACTGGGAATACGTCCGCAAAGAGCCAGAAAAATTAACAGAGGAAATGAAACAATTAACAGAACAAACTCAAGACCTGGCGTTCACCAATTACAAGACCTTTGTAGAAACAGCTGAGATTTCGCGAACTATCAGAAGCGACCTAGGCAAATCCAAAGATTCTTTAGAAACTTTTTTAAATACGACACCAGATTTTATACAGGAATGTGAGAAGTTTTCTCAAATGGCTGGCAACATAGTTAAAGAGAAAAGGTATGAGTTTTTTACATTGGCGTTTTCATCATAATACCTATAATAATAATCAGTACATAATACTGTTTTAAAATAATTTTATCAAGATTATTGTGATGAGTTCAAATTTGTATTATAAAATTAAAGGAAAATAGTATGCAAATTGATACATAACTTCAAATAAATTCCCTAAAAAATATGTAGTTTAACACGTACATTTTTGAAATATGCTGTGATCAGTTTGGTAGTATACAGGGTTAATTTAAAATACTAAAAACCTGCCATAACTTTTAATATTCATTGGATTTTACTATCATACACAAATAAAAATATTTAAATAGATTGCTCTAAACAGTGATGACTCTGTACAGTAACAAAAGAAAGAACAAGATGCCAAATGCAGAATGCAGGAGGTGGTCGGGTGCACCTTTTGAACTTACTACCTTACTATCAAATAAATATCTAGAAAGTGTCAAATGGAACAACAGTTTTATTTTTGGTAAATTTTGTGTTTTGTAACAATGATGGTTTGAAAAGTTGTTTACAATGTTAGTAAAAGTCCTGTGAGGATGTTAGTATTTTACAAATAATCCTGTATATAGAACAATATGGCTAGTGAATAGAACAATTATACATCTAGATGTAAAAGTGCATAAAGCTTGCAAGACTATAGCGTAAATATGGATTATCAGGTTGTATTATTAATTATGTTGCGTTTCTATGAAACTATAATGAATTAATTATGGTTAAATAATAATTGTGTAATAAAAATTATTGCAGCCGCTACAGTTCCATACGCAACCAAAGTGACAAATTACTGGAACTTCTAGAATTACCCTCATTAATGAGAGAAGCTCTTAATGCAGAGGACTACGAAAGTGCTCTAGACATCTTCACTTTTGTTCGCAATCTCTCTAAGAGATATTCTGAAATACCTATAGTTCAGGTAAGTAATAAGAAAACAATGGAGTCTACAACAATATTGATTCTAAACTTTTTCTTTCAAATTGCTTAATCCAAACAGTTCATTACTAAAATTTTAAAATTATAATAGTATGTTTAAATTGTCCAAATTTTGCAATTACAATGAATCACACTGTAATATTCTAGCAAATCCAACACTATTAAATGTTAGTTTGATTTTCATTGTTGAAATTCCAATCAATGCTTATTTTGCCAGTTATAACTAAAGGTAATGTATATTACTAAATAAATAAAGGTAATGTAAATTATCATTGGCACATATAGAAGAGACTATGCATTGTCATTATAAACATAGTCTAATAATATATTAGATAGAGGGTTGAATTATATAGTGACTACTTGTACTGTTGGATGATACATACAGTTAAAAAAATTATTCTAAGTAAACATTAAATTAAACAAGTAGTAATTTACATTCCCATAAACAATTGGACATACGGTATTCGGCTGTGAGGTGTGGCTAGCAAGAATAATATACTTTGTCTCCAATGAGGGCAGAATTGTATTCTGATGACAATAGTCAATGCCCCTCAGTACACTCAGAATGATGAGATTGATAATCACCTAAACATGTCATCAGTAGCTGCTGAGATCGATCGACATAAAACTAAGCACAAAGAATGTCTATCCTGCCACCTGAGCCCACTCATCGCGGAACTTCTAGATCCATCAACTATGGTAAACGGCTTAAGCGAAGCCATGTTCTATACTTGGGATCTGTGGCACAGGCGCTCTTATTTTCGATAGATTCGCTTATACTCGTACCTTGGTGGCCGATCGCAAATAAAATAATTTAAAAAAAAAATGAGCAATGCAATTTTTAATAAGTGATGTAAATATATTTGTTTGCTTCAGAATACAACGAATGAAATTATGACTCTCTGGTTTGAAACGCTGTATCATCTATTCAACCAACTTCGATATGACTTGCCACTGCCTCAATGCTTACAGGTAACAGAAATTGAGGTTTAATTGTATTGAATTAGTTTTATGAGATGATATTTATTATCCTTTATTCAACTAAATGTCCATTCATACTACTACTTCTTTATATTAGCCAATGGTTATTTAATCTACAAAAAAATATTGAAACTGCATTAAACCGTGCGGTGACGGATTAGAATACAATTCACCGCCCCTCTCTTCCCGTGGGTGTCGTAAGAGGCGACTAAGGGATATTGAGCAACCAGCTGCTCCACTGGTGGTAGGGCTTGAAAACCCGCCTGGTTAGTGACCACCGTGCGCATGATGGAAAACCCGCCAAGTGTTCGCTAGTCGGATGCGTTCCGGGATCAGTCAGCGTACAACCAGAGCCCGAGGCAACGCTGCCGCGACATTTGTGGTCTGTGGAGGCTTCCGCCGAACCAGTGCCAGGACAACTGCATTGACCCGCCGGCCAGGGAGACCCGTAGAAACGGTTGTTCCGCTGGCCGCCCGCGGTACAGTACAGGGGCCCAAGCGTGCTTAACCAGCTCGTGAGGCTGCCTCACCATGCCGCGCATAATCTCGGTGTGGTTCGTCGTGCCGGTTGGTGACCGGGAGGTGGGGTCCCGGCGGCCATTCCCGGGGGGGTTCGGGGGCCCTTCCGTCCGGCGGATCAGCGCAACTTGTCTGTAGGCAAGTCTCTGGGGAAGCAGGCTCCGCGATTTGACCGCTTGTGTCGCGGCACTGTTTTCTCGCTTCATGCCTCTTTTTCCCTCCAACATGTTGGCGCAAAGTACAAATTTCGGTCGTACAGCGGTGCACACCCCCACCACTAAAGCGCTCTTTAAGGTGGAGTTCACGAACATTCGAGGACTCCACAGTAACATCCACGCCGTCCATCAACATCTTGAGACGGCTCGACCAGAAATGCTGTTCCTTACGGAGACGCAAATACTCTGCCCGGCTGACAGCAGCTACTTGAATTACCCTGGCTATATGCTTGAAGAGTCCTTCAGAGCGAAAGCTGGGGTCTGCTTGTTTGTCCGGGCAGATGTTTGCTGTCGCCGTCTGCGTCATTTGGAGGACCCCTCCTTCTCCATCCTTGGGGTACATGTTGACCTGGGCAGTCATTGCCGTGTCTACATGTGCCTCTACAGATCCCACCACGGCGACATGGAGACAACTCGTCTCATGGACCACCTTACTCGGGCGGCAGATGACGCGCAGGCGCAGTTTCCTACAGCGGAATTGGTGTTTTTAGGGGACTTCAATGCTCACCACGAGTCGTGGTTAAGTTCCTCTAAAACTGACCATGCTGGAAGAACTGCCCACACATTCGCTCTCACACACGATTTAACCCAACTGGTGAATCAGCCCACCCGGATTCCAGATAGGGTTGGTGACGCGCCCTCTTTGTTGGACCTTCTGCTGACGTCTCGCCCGGCTGGATATCGGGTGGTGGTCCAAGCCCCTCTGGGCACTTCGGATCACTGCTTGATATCCACTAAAGTGGCAACGTTACTGCCACCACCACCTACTGTGGCTAAACGCCGCATTTGGCATTATGCGTCGGCAGATTGGGACGGTATGCGGGACTATTTTGCATCCGTTCCCTGGCGGCAGCGCTGTTTTAGTGAGGTGGATCCAACAGCTAGCGCGACTGCCGTTGCTGATGAGATCTTAATCGGGATGGAATACTACATCCCGCATTCGGATCTCGTCAGTAAAGGGAGGCGCAACCGCTGGTTCAACCGCGAGTGTGCTGTGGCTGTTGAGAACAAACAGACTGCATACCGCGCTTGGATCAGGGGTCTAGCTTCAGACGATCCCAATACGAACTCACTTAAAACAGCCTACAATAATGCCACCAGGTCTTGCAAAAGAGCGTACATCAGAGCGGATGCTCAGCGCGTCGCACGAGTTGGCCAAGAACTCTTGACGCATCCCACAGGTAGTCGTAGCTACTGGCGTCTGGCCAGAGCCGTTGCGTCGAACTTCTGCCAGCCCTCGCTGCCACCGCTGAGATATTCTGACGGCAATCTAGCCCACAAGCCGCAAGATAAAGCCGACCT